CACTATTTCATTATAGTGGATTGATTTGTAATGATAAATTTACTGATTTGTATTCCTATGCGTCAATTGTTTTCAATTATTGTCGCTAGGTGGTTCCTTTGGTAACAAACTTTGTAGAGGACAAGCTTGGAGTAAAGTTTGTCCAGCCACCTCCGTTTGACTTGGCAAAGAGTTATGCAGATTCCAATGCTTGCGCACCATTACTTTTTATTCTTTCACCTGGTGCTGATCCTATGGCAGGTAATAATCATTTTGATATCCAGTGTTGTTAGCATGTAGAAGTATAATGTCTACTTCGTATTTGTTTTACAGGTTTGATGAAGTTTGCAGATGATAAGGGATTCAGTGGCGAAAAGTTTAAYGCAATATCTCTTGGACAAGGACAGGTGAAATATAACATAAAGCTCTCCATGCTATTTTGGATAAGGAGGAAAATAACGATTCTTTTTTAATTTGTCGTTGTTTATATGATGCGTGGTTTAGTCTGTGATATGTTTCTCTTTCACAAAGTCAAATATACAACATGATATGAATATGAATCTACAATAGTTTGAATGACAACTCCTTATATGGGGCAGATATCTCTTGAAATCTAAGACATAAAACACAAGAAAATCAAGAATAACTTGACGTCGTCAAAGGCTTAAACATGACGCTTCATGATTATTTTCTCATCTCSTATACAGCAAACGTTAAAACCAGCATACAAGCAATTGTTTTGTCTGAGCAATGATTAATTTATTTTGTTAATAGGAACTTTTTTTGATATATATATATATATATTTATAACTGTGATAAAATGTCCCAGGGTCCTGTTGCTGCTAAGCTGATCACGGAAGCCATGCAGAATGGATCATGGGTAGTACTACAGAACTGCCACTTAGCAGTGTCCTGGATGACGTCACTGGAGAAAATCTGTGAAGACCTTAGTCCAGAAAACACGCATACAGACTTTAGACTCTGGCTGACAAGTTATCCATCTAATAAGGTCAGTCAGTCAGTTACTGAGCTGCTTTGTGTCATATAAGGACTTTGTATGTTTAATGTGGTTGAGRRAATTATATGTAATTTGTCGCCCTGTACTACATTTGCAGCCTTGTTTTTCAATGGAWGCTGCTATATTTACAGTAGCTTTCTGCAGATAAATTGTAACTCAACATGAGATTAAGAAATCTCTCTTTTTTCTATTCCACCAAAGCCTCCCTAAAATGCTTTCATCTTCAAAAAAAAAATAAGTTTTTGAAACGGAAAAATCTATAACTATTCCTTGGATATAAAACCACTCTCCTCTGTATTAGAAAGTGTTTGAAATATCTCATTTGAGGCTGACAAATATAAACATGTTAATGTTGTTTGTGGTGGTTTTGCTCGTTAATATTCAGACCCACTCAACCTGGTTTTAAAAAGTCCCGGAATGTGATGCAGGCTATTAGTTTTGCTTCAGATAAATCTCAGGATGATTGGATTTTGGCAGCTTTTAATTATTATAATTTKTATTAGTTTCCTGTAACCGTTCTACAAAATGGCGTTAAGATGACAAACGAGCCTCCAACTGGACTTCGACAGAACTTACTACAGTCTTACTTGAACGACCCTATTTCTGATCCTGAATTCTTCGTGGGATGTGGAAATAAAGGAGCGGTAAATATTGTGATTTGTTTTATAGATCTACAAGATGAAATCTCAAGAGGAAAATATTTATATCACTATGTAATCACTCTAATAGCTTTTTCTCTGAAAAGAAATCGTCGGCTATGTCATAATTTGATTAAAATATTTTGCTGTCTTAATTCAGATCTGGGAGAAACTGTTGTTTGGTTTATGTTTCTTCCATGCATTGGTTCAAGAAAGAAGAAAGTTTGGTCCATTGGGATGGAATATACCATATGGCTTTAACGAGTCTGATCTACGTATTAGTGTTAGACAACTACAGGTAAGATCAAACTATGTCACTATAAAAACAATTTATTAACAATTCTCTCATATTTTTTTTTCAATTGCGTCATGATAAAATGCTAATTGATTATGATTGGTCAGACTTTGAGCCAAATATTTTCACTATGGTCCTTCTACTCAATCAATTAGTACATACTGAGATTTACATGAATACCATGACGCAATTTTCAGAAAAATACGACGTCTTTAAATAAAAATGTGGTTAGAATGAATGTTTTCAACTATGTTTTTTTAATAGATGTTTATCAACGAGTACGAGGAGATTCCTTTCGATGCTGTGACGTACTTGACCGGTGAATGTAACTACGGTGGAAGAGTTACAGACGATAATGACAGGTATATCTTTAATTTAAAGTTTTTTTTTCTGAAGAAGCTAATTTTTTTAGGATGTTTGCTAGTAATGTGATGTATTGTCAATTGTGGAGGATGTATTTCGTTGATACTAATTTATGTATTTAATTTTAAAAACTATGCGTAAGTCAGAGGCCGAGAAAACAAAATTACAAAGAGAGAAAACTGCAGAATGTTSCACTTTTTGAAGAAGTTCTCGCTTCAAAACAGGGATCCAGAAAAATGGAGAATATCTTTTTATTTTATTATTTATATACAAACTTCTATTTTATAATACACTAGCAAATTTTATATGAAAAAAATTGTATTGTATTTTTAAAATGTATTCTATTCCTTTCGTAGCCATCAGCAATGACAACGTTCACTGTCCATATTTAAGGGCTGTTAATTCTATTGGTCTTTGCTTGATACAATTATTCATCTTTCTTTATTTGATTTTAGACGCTGTTTGATGAGCATCCTTGCCGATTTTTACAACCCTGAGATTATCCAGGATCCTAAGTACAAGTTTTCGCACAGTGGTAATTACTTTGCGCCACCCAAATCCTCATACGAAGAATATGTCGAGTTTATCAAAGTGAGTTCCTCGCAATCTTTCTCTGTTATAGTCAGAAAGTAGCGCGCATACATGTCTTAGGGAGAATAATCTTAGGCTTCCTATGTCAAAACCGCATTGTCATTTCAACAGTTCGAAATGGTGGATATCCAGATATGTGATAGACATTCGGGCTGATAGGACGATTTAGTAACATTATAGTCAGCAATTCAGCAATTGGGTTGCACGGCAACATGATATCAAAACACCCTAAACATCATTTATTGTGGAATCTTTTATAGGAATTGCCCCAGACACAGTCTCCAGAAGTGTTTGGCATGCATGATAATGTTGATATATCAAAGGAACTACAAGAGACGCGAAACGTAAGTTGTTCTTACCTTGTGTGTATTTATGCAGTCTTTTCAATGTATTTGTGATTGTATTGTATTTGTGTGTGTATTTATGCAGTCAATGTATTTGTGATTGTATTGTATTTATGTGTGTATTTATGCAGTCAATGTATCTGTGATTGTATTTTGCAGCTGTTTGATTCTGTGCTGATGACACAAGCTCAAGGCGGTGGTGGTGGCGCTGGAAAGAAAACTGAGGAGACGTTGTTTGAAATTGCAAATGATATTCTATCTAAGGTATTGATGTTGAAGGAAACGGAGAGGCTGACGAACGAGTACGAAATGTTTTTATTTCTGAGGGAAATTCATCGTGGAATATCCTCGTCATCTATTGAATTTATCTTGGATGTCTCATGTCTAGACAGATAAAGCCCACACTTGCGAGAACTCTATCCTTTTCTTTAAAAAAAAAATTGTGATTATCCGTCTGAAAAGAAGCCAGTTTAGTGTTTTCTTTGTTATGTCCCACCAATAGAAAACAAGCAGAAAAACTGGTGAATTTTTCCGATCATTCGAGTTAAGTTGTACGACGACTGTGTGTGGCCATAATTTTTACAGCATTATATTTCTTATCGTAAATTCTTTCTCGTAGAAGAATATAACTAAGTATAGTATAATAAGAGGTTTTTTAGAATATGTGTATCTCTCTGTTGTTTTTGTAGCTCCCTATCAGCTTCAACCTAGAAGACGCATTAGCAAAATATCCGGTCACTTACGAGGAGAGCATGAATACTGTTTTGGTGCAAGAGATGGAGAGGTTTAACAAGTTAGTAAAAACTTATCAATAATCTGATTTATTTTAATTTGAGCGTAATATCCAGAAAAATGGGCCGTCATTGACGGCATGAGGAGCAAGGATTGCAGAGCAATTTATAAAACTCTGACCTATCACCGCTGTTGTCCTGGTTGGATTCCTCAGTCAAAAACCAGCTGTGCGGAGTGTCGTTTACTAAAACAGTTAGTGTTGAGGTAGTTTGTTAGACTGAGTCTCCCACATGTTGTCTGACAAGACTGATTGAAAAAGTTATTTATTGATTTTTATTATTTATGCTGTTTTTATTCAGTTTGATGAACATTATTCGCTCCAGTCTTCAAAACCTTCTGAAAGCTATCAAAGGTCTTGTGGTTATGAACTCTGAGCTTGAGGCATTGGCTGGTAGTTTGCTTGTAGGAAAGGTAGCTATACTTGTGGAACCATACATGGGTGGAATATTACATGGACGCGCGAAAATACGTATTTCATAACAACAACATCCTAATTTTGTTGTGTTCGCTTTCGCCCCACTTGCCAATACAAGAGCTTTTGCGCGRTTTTCTCACACATTCGAAAGTTCGCCATTTTTGATTTTGAAACACTCAGAAACGTGCAATATGATATCTATCGCAAAGGTTCTTGGATCGAATGGTATCGATGATTACTTGCAGGTCCCAGACATGTGGATGAAGAGATCGTATCCTAGCCTCAAGCCATTGGGAAGTTACATCAATGATTTCTTAGCAAGACTTAAGTTCCTCCAGGTCAGCAGCATTTCTATTAAATGTCTGTCTGTCGTCTCCTGGCGATGAATAGCGTCCCTTATATCGGGTATTCGATGGTTTCTGATCCATTATTTGATATATTCTCAGGAGTGGTACGACAAAGGAAAACCTGTGGTGTTCTGGATATCAGGATTTTTCTTCACACAGGTAAATGTCGACTAGTGTGGTATTTTCTTATATAACGTTCAGTTTCTTGAGATTACTGTAAAAAAAAAATCACTCATCAATACCTGTATTGACAAAGTTTAAAAAAATTGCAACAAATTTTGATTTTTCGATCTAGCACACGGCTGCTAACTAATCGTTATAAGYATWRACCAGTGTACTTCAATACAAAAGTCAAGTTGTATTTTCAACAAATTCTTTCACTTCTTATTTAAGGTTTTTGTTTCCTTCTTTACTACTAAAAATCTGGGTTGTCTAAAGTAAATAAATATCTGAAACACATCATACTTCTTGAATATTATTTTTTTCGGTCAGGTATCCTAGTCATTCGCGCGCTCTGGTTGGCTAGCGCGCGGTCCTGTTTTTCACGATCTGCCCGGTCCGACGGTATCCTGCAGCTAGGCTGCGAGCAAAGTTGCATAAAATACAAATAAAAAATAAATAAATGTTATTTACCGGCTATAGGTCGGTCCGTATAGGAAAACACTRYCCTCGGTMTTTTATGTACGGACCTCGCTGCGCTCGTTCCGTACTGTCAAGACCTCGGGCAGTGTTTTCCTATACGGACCTCCAAGCCGGTAAATAACATATATGTACGGCCCTGTCGCAAAAAGGCGTACAGCCCCCCATCACGTGACCATTTCCCAAAGGTTTTTTAAGAGCGCGCGTAGGGCCGAAATACGGGGTCATATGATAAATAGATTGTTTAGAATTGAAAAAAAGCAAAAGAAGATTGTTTAAAAGACTCTTCCTGTGAAATAAAGCCCTGTGAAGTCACTATTCCCGTGTCTCTGTGCAATACTGCACGGTTAGAGTCAAAGAAATCTTCTTTTGCTGAAATACCAGTAAAAGATTATTATACTACATCCACAGCATTTTGTTTGTTATTATATAAATTTTTGAATGCTACYATCGTATCGTTCAGGCTTTCTTAACTGGAGCTAAGCAGAACTACGCCAGAAAATACACCATTCCTATTGACCTGTTAGGGTTTCAATTCGATGTTAAAAGCAAAGATACTGCTGACAAACCGCCCGTTGATGGTGTTTACATCCATGGTCTGTTCCTTGAAGGTGCAAGATGGGACAGAAAAAGGTAGGAGACATCCCGCTTAGATTAGATAGCTAAACCATCTCGAAGAATCAAAACAGAGAAAGAGAGTTCTAGAGGAGTAGTAAAATAAAAAAATGTGCTTCTCTTCTCTAATTTGAACATCCCCCTACTTGAAGATATGAACACCCCCATACTTGAGATTAAAGGTTTTTRAAGAGTGGCATAGTAGTCTAAATAACTTCGAAGTCTTAACTTGATAATTATGCCTTAATGAAAGATAGATAGATATATATTTTTAAATTCTGACAATATTTTTTACCTTTTCAGGGGAGTAATAGGCGAGTCTTTGCCTAAAATCCTTCATGATGTCATGCCAGTTATTCACATTAAGCCAGGTAATTACGATAAGTACCTCAAGCAGTGACGACGACTGACGACGGCGGGAAACAATYAGATTGCTATTTCTAGTTGAAATATTGGACAAGTTATGTAAAACACTCAGATAAAATAAGAAATGATAAACGAAATCCTTCTACAATAGGTTTTGTTTTCGATAGATCAGTGAATTTTAGAATTTAGTATTTATGCAAATTTTTATATCTTTTTACCATTAATATTTTCTATCTATCTATCATCATATTTCTAGTGATACTTATAATGTACTATGCACATATATATTATATTTAACAATACTCCAGTTTCGAGTTCATAGCGAATAACCGCTGCTCTATTTGACAACAGATTCTCTTGCGCAAAGACCTGACTAAACACAAAAGAGAGCACGAGAAAATGCCGTTATTACAATAGCCTTGAAAATTTGCATTTTCCCYGAGTTGAGACTAACYCTGTATTCCCATRAGAYCTAAGGTATGAGCCTTCTGGGAATACAGGGTTAGCCTCAACTCGGGGAAAATGTAAATTGTAAGCGCTATTGTACTAACAACATTTTCTCGTGCTTTCTTTTGTGTTTGGTAAGTTCTTTGCGTAATTGAATCTGCTGTCAAATAAAACAGCGGTTATTCGCTTAGAATTCGAAAATGGAGTATTAGACCTCGAGGTCGAGTGGACTACGAGTTAATAGCCCATGAGGCCGAGTCCGCGAGGCCGAATGGGCTATTAGCTCGTAGTCCACGAGGCCGAGAGTTCTAATTGTTTTAGTATAAACATACTAATCGGTCAAATAATGAAAACAAATTGAAATATCCTTAAAATAATTTATTAATGAGATGCCACAATTTTGATTTTCCCGCGAGTGGTCTATCACAAATTAGACCATTAGTAGAGTAGCCAATCACAGCGYAGTATGAGTGATAGACCATTAGTATGTTTATACTAATGTAGTTTATATTGTTATGCTCAGGGCTCCCATTGATAACAGATTGCTTTTTGCATCTGATGGGGCTACCCTGAGCGGTATAAGTTAATAAAGGTTTATCTATCTATCTATCTAATTTGGAGTTTTAGCATAGTAGTTTTGTAAAGCATATACCCTTCAGTTAGTACTATCTTAAATAACTTTGACTTGTGCGTAATATCTAAWTAAGCACAATAATATTAGCAAAATGACAACGTCGAGATTCAGTTATATCAAATATTGTACTGCACATGCAAACAGGCAATGTAAGGACGTTCAGTTATGATTAATATGTAACAGCTGCCGATGTTTAAATAATCTACGGGTGGGATTTTGTTGTTCTTCAGAACAGCAAAAWTTTTTTTGAAAATTATCATTTTCCCGGTTTTGGCCCAAATGTTACCATGTTATGTCCCATTTTTTGACGTTTCTGTCATTGTATTTTATTACTAGGGAAAATTTCAGAGTTCGAGAGCAAGCCATCTTACCGATGTCCTGTATATAAGACAAGTGAAAGGCGAGGTACCCTGTCAACTACAGGGCATTCCACAAACTACGTTATGCCTATATATCTACCTACAGACAAGTCTGAGAATCACTGGATCAAGCGAGGAGTAGCGTTACTGTGTGGATTGGATAACTAACAAATTGGACTGTATTTATTACTGATGTACATTGTATAAAACTAGTGTATTTTTGTTTGCTTACAGAATTGGTGCTTTTTAGAATAAAGAATATCAAGTTAATCAGTCTAGTTTGTTTTGTTTGTATAAAACCTGTGTCTCTCAAAAATAATTTTTGTAAAAGGAGATATAAGACAATGTTTTTGCGACTCGATCTTTTTCACTTTCTTTGGTGTCTTCAAGCGTCTTACGAATATTCATGTCTTCACAATTCTTACTGTTACATCATGCAGACTACTTCATAACAACATTTTCAGATGTTTTCGACATATTTAAAGGAACTGTCTCCTGACTATTGCMACTTGCATTAAATATTTCTTCAATTTTCTCAGACAAAAAAATTACAACAAACAACAAATGATGAAGCAAACGATTGCAACCAATCAAAAGAGAAAAATATTAGCCAATCAAAATCCTGGCGGATGCCAGGGCCTTTTCTCCACAGAAAATGACCGGAAAGATGGTTAGGGAAATTGAAACTGGTTTTGGAGGAAATGTCAAATGCAATACAGTTCTACTATATCATGGAATGTTACGAAGATATGCGAAGAATAGCGAAAGGGTATCGGAGGAAAACGCAGACACAAAGTTCCGAGGCACTAGTCACGTGGAAAATGACAAGTTTTAAAAATATTTAAAAAAAAAGAATTTGAGGTTATTGGACCATTTGGATAATTTTAGGGCGGTTTTAATAGTTTTGGATTCAGGCATAGACTGTTATCGTTTGAAGACGAAATTGAACTAAAGTTCGGTTGATGAGCTTTATTACAATATTCAATTTGTTCAGAGAACAAAGCAGTGTCCCAGTTCGATATCAGATATTTGGCTTCATCACTTCTATAACTGCATAATAAATGCAGGGTGAAATTAGCCTGAGTTACCTGATACAAATTCAGGTGATAAATATATTGCAGCAATCATGTTTAATCAATTGGATAAGTACACTTTATAGGCCCGTTTACACTTGCAATTTTTGCAGCGCAATTGTCACGCGACAATCGCCACTTTGTTTTCGCGCACCTCAAATCGTACATGTCAACAGCCCTGCGATTGTCGCGGCGATTCGAAAATCGTCGCAAGGTGCAGCTAAATTTCAAGCATGTCCGAAACTCAGACGATTGTCGCACGACAATCGCGCTTCAAACACGGACCARTAGAAACAACTGACAGACAAGCAAAACATCAGTAGTTTGTTTCTCGTCTGATTGCTACTATTTGTTTACTTTTTGGGTAAACACCAAACTGGTCAGTGTTTTAGATATTTATATACGTAATGGGTCCAGCCAGAATGTGTGCGCTAGTTGTATTTTCCAAGATACCAGGCCAATACATCCAGTTATACCAGGTACCAACAACACACACAAATAAGCAACAACTTACAGATGCTGTTTTACTTGGACTCCAGGTCCATCTAACATTTGCGACGTTTTCTCCCATGCATTAATTCTCTTGTTAAAAGGTATCATTGTCAGCGCTGGGAACAGTTCTAACTATTACACGGCCATTGCAGCAACAATGTGTCAAACTGTGACTTGGACTCGAGCGTTGTTGGTATTTAACCATGACACACTCTGCACTGCCTCTAAACTGATGAGGTCCAGTATGAGCGCTTAATATCGTGGTATAGACGCATAGTCCAAATACGTTATCACCAATGGCGACCAAAAAAAAAACATCGGCCGTGTAGTTGTTTTATTTATTCAATCAGCAGGCTGCCTTCATCGCACCATACCGAGCATTTGTTGACTGGATTCATAGCACTGTTTGCCGTGCAGTTGAATGCTCTTGCAAATTCATACGAGTTGGACAATGTGCCAATTACTCTGTTGGTTAAATATGAGTTAATCACCGACTTACATATTTCATCATCGTCTGACCTAGTAGCTTTTTTTCGCGTTTAAATGTAATATTACAAACCTGACTTTCTCGTCCGAGTGATGATCATTTAATGTAGCAAGATACTGCTCGGTTGGTCTGCTGTTTCTACAGTACGCCTAGAAAAACAACAACAATTTGATCAATCAGTAATTTAAATTAACTTTTCACCTATGTGTGAATTCTCTCATGCTGATTGGCTTATTAAAGCTTGTTAATAACAGGGTATTTAAACTGTGCAGACACCATCACGTCTTACGCACGCGCTCATGAAAGAAAAGAATGATTTTGGAAAAATTGTAAACTGAAGATATAGTATTTTTACACAAAATATGTTCATTGGATGTCCTCTTCTTATTGGCACACTCTTGACGTCATCACACGCTCAAAACAGTGAACCCACTCGCTGCACTCATGGATCCAATTGAGTTTTTAGGGTGTGTCCCGTRCAGCAAGCGCTCGAGAGATGATGGTTTCAGCACGGTGTGCACGTCCTGACATACTCTAACCAGCCAATCAGCGCGCTAGATATTCATATAAGTAAAAATTGTGGAAATTAGCGGTAAACTTGTCTGATCTACGTCGGTGTTTCTAAAGAAACAGTTTTGTAAAAAGACAAATTTAGCACCGTAAAAAAAGTAGGTCAAACCACTTACTCACGTTTCGGACGCTTACCCTTTCGTTGAAAAAAATATACAAAAAAAATATCGATATACGTACAAGGCAGAACCATAGTTTGTCTGGTGGTGCAATCTACATCACTACATCACATTTCCACTATTTATGCTACTAGCGACGATATGGTATTACTCTATACATCAACAAATGACTTCGGTGTGTAATTTATGYAATACCATCTGATTGCATCGCATCAACTTTTCGTCTCTTACTTCTTTACTTGATARTTGACCAATTTAGGGTAGTTGCAATGACAAGATACTCACCTGACCAAATCCTACATAAAATAACTGCTCATTCGTGAGACTTATACCCGGCAGCTTCCAGGTTTCATCACCTCTCCTCTTCAACCAATTGTGATAGGCCTTAAATACATAGCTATGATTAATAACTTAAAACAGAGCTGCACTGAATTATGGGAAACCATTTGTTTATGAAATATGCGAGCTTTATAATTTTTTGGACATTTAGCAATAAAAGTCCTGCGAGCAGAGCAAATTGATGGCGGAAAATACAATCAAATGAAATGAATTAATTACATACCCTATAAGATGACTTGAACCCACCATTGTCTGCAATATTCTCACCTAGAGTAAGCTTACCATTGATCTAAGAGTAAATGTGATGAACAATGAATGAACGGCCTTTACGAGAATGGAATACCTATAAACTATAATGAAGGCATCTTATTCATAGATTTTTGTCTTTCCTAGAAGGCTAACTGATATAAAACTCTTTGTTCAGTCCAGTGGACGTACTCAAAATTATTAGTAAATACATGTATTACAAAAATTGTATAAAACAACTATTTTTTTGCATCACGGATCTTAAAAGCGCTTTCAGTCTATCAGATTATTTGGACTGAGCTACATAATGTCATAAAGCAGACTCYTTTTTCATATAACGTAATTTTACATAATTTTATCCGAAGTGCCTACAGTAAAGAGGAAAGTGCTTCCGGAAAACTACTGGAAGAGACCATAAAATAGCTAATCACAAAAATAGATATTTTACTTGCCAACTGTCCCTATGCCAGCAGAATGTGTCATTTTCATTGAAGAATAACTCACCGGATATTTTCCCGACACTTTGTATGCCGAGTACTGTGTCTCTATACACTGTGCTTTTTCATTGAAACCGTTGAGTGAGCTGGAAGACCACCATTGATCAGCTAACTCCCCTTTCTTATTGAACTTCCTRCCTAAAATCGTAATTCAATTATTGTATCGTAGAGCTTATTAATGTCAAAAGGCATTGACAACATAGTAAATTAGATAAGATACATTATAAACTTCAATAAGATACTAGGAAATATTCAACGCGAAATCGAAAAAGGGATATCTTTCACATGTGACATAACACGTTACCATGGATACTCCGTACAAAAGGGAGTTACCCTTTATTTTTTTAAAGATAATTTTCTGGATCTCCCAATCTTTAAGTTGCCGCATTTGTCCTTTAATGAGCGGTCAAAGGAACTTTGACTTATTGATTCTGTTTGTTGTTAATTGTCGAGGTTTTGAATTCTAACTCCAACAAATAACTGACATAAAGTGTTGTTAAAGGTACTTGGCAGTCAAGATAGCGGCTCGTGCACCAGGACATTAACCAATATTCTTTGTTCGTATTAGTGACCTGAAGCCTAAGGATGTCTGCATTATCTCACATTTTTGAATCTAGCCAGGAGTTACTACTATCAAATGATTTCAAAATGGATATAATTGAATCCGTAATCTCCGCGCGTCTATGTAATATCCTCTATGTCGAATGTGAGGAATCATAAAGAAGCTTGTGACTGACATTCTGTGCTTACCAGTGTTATCAAAGCCATGCGTCATTTCATGACCAAGTATCGAACCAATGGCACCGAAAGAAAGCGCGCTGAAAATGTAAAGGTAAGGAAAATTGAAAAACATCTATTACCAGGGAGGTGCGATTGAATGGAGAAGCAACTGCATCATCATTTTTGGTACATATTTGATTTTAGAAGGTACATATATTCAGGGAACTAGGGTTATTCACCGTGTTGGGTGTGTCGTGTCCATGTCGTGATCCATGAATCCTCTCTGATATCATGTCTCACCATTCTGGCCCATTTGAATAGTTAAATGACAGTCCTTACCTTGGTGCATTAGGGAAGAAAAACGGTGGCTGCAAAATTGCTGCAGGTATAACTACGAACGAGAGGGTAATTATCTAACAATATATAAATGGTTTTACTGGAAATAATATGGTGCATATTCCTTATTTTTAACACTTTGACGTCACGATATCGGTGCAGTCTGACGAGATATTAGTCATCATGTGACTCACTGGTGCATGTCGTTAAAAGACATTTGATTGGACAATTTATGGGTGATGAAGCTTTAAGGCAGCTTCGTTCTTGAGTGACTATATTTGTTTTTCTGGAACTATCACGACATAATACCCACGAATCCACTTCTGAATTGTCGATAGATGAATAGTCGATACATACTCATTTCATTTTCGTTAAAGCTGTACATGGCATTGATTGTTTGAGGGTCCATAGGCCATCTGTA